CAAGAGGATGTAAAACTGTTGAATAACCCAATCTCTGTTAATGAAATTGAAAATGTAATTAAGTCCTTACCCACCAAGAAGAGCCCAGGCCCAGATGGATTCACTGCAGAATTCTACAAGAAATACAAAGAAGACCTAATGCCGACACTCCTCAAACTATTCAATGAAATTGAAAGGGAAGCAATCCTTCCTAAGTCATTCCTGGAAGCAAATATTACTCTAGTACCAAAACCTGAGAAAGACCCAACTAAAAAAGAGAACTATAGACCGATCTCCCTAATGAACACAGATGCAAAAATCCTCAATAAAATATTGGCAAATAGGATCCAGCAAATCATCCAGAAGGTTATACACCATGACCAAGTGGGATTCATCCCAGGAATGCAAGAATGGTTCAACATATCCAAATCAATAAATGTAATCCACCATATCAATAAAGCCAACAGTAAGAATCACATGATCATTTCTATAGATGCAGAAAAAGCCTTCGATAAGATCCAACATTTATTCAAGATAAGAACTTTACAGAAAATTGGAATAGATGGTCTTTACCTCAATATAATAAAGGCCATTTATGACAAACCAACAGCCAGCATCATACTAAATGGACAAAAATTGAAAGCCTTTACTTTAAAATCAGGCACAAGACAACGATGTCCTTTATCACCACTCCTATTTAATATAGTACTGGAAGTACTAGCCAGAGCAATTAAGCAAGAGAGAGAAATAAAAGGGGTAAAGATAGGAAAAGAAGAAGGTAAATTATCATTGTTTGCAGATGACATGATACTCTACATAGAAGACCCCCTAAACTCCATTGAAAGTCTCTTAGATACAATAAATAAATTCAGTAATGTGGCTGGATACAAAATCAATACTCAGAAATCAATAGCATTCCTATACACAAACAACAAAATCACAGAGAGGGAAATAAGAGAAACTGGACTATTCACATTAGCAAGCAAAAAAATGAAATATTTAGGAATTACTCTTATGAAAGAAGTGAAAGACTCATACAGTGAAAATTATAATACACTGAAAAAGGAAATTGAAGATATGATCTCAGAAAATGGAAAGACATCCCTTGCTCTTGGATAGGAAGAACAAACATGGTGAAGATGGCCATTCTCCCAAAACTGTTATACAGATTCAATGCAATCCCAATAGAAATACCATCAACATACCTTATAGGTCTACAGAAATCACTCCTAAATTTCATCTGGAACCAGAAGAGACCTAGAATCACAAAGGCAATTCTAAGCAGCAAAGACAAAGCAGGAGGCAGCACAATCCCTGATTTGAAGTTATACTGCAAAGCAACAGTAGTAAAATCAACATGGTACTGGAATCAAAACAGAGCCAAAGATCAATGGAATAGATTAGAAGATACAACCACAACTACAAACACACTCAACTACCTTATCTTTGATAAAGGAGCCAAGCAGGTTCATTGGAAGAACAACAGTCTCTTTAATAAATGGTGCTGGAAAAACTGGCTCTCCATTTGCCAAAAACTAAAGCTAGACCCATGTCTATCACCATGTACTAAATTAAAATCTAAATGGGTCAAAGATCTGAATATTAAAACAGAAACACTAAATCTATTGGAAGACAAATTGGGTAGAAACCTTGGAGACATAGGAATAGGTAGAGAATTCATGAACAGGACTCAAACCGCACAGGAAATACTTCTCAGAATCAATAACTGGGACCAGTTCTTATTAAAAAGCTTCTCCATGTCAAAAGAAATCTCCAGCATAGTGAAAAGAAAACCCACAAACTGGGAAAAGATTTTAGTTAACTCTCTCTCAGACAAGGGACTCTTGTCTAAAACATATAAAGAATTAAAAAAACTCAGACCTCCAAAATTCAAAGATCCAATCCAACAATGGGCATCTGAGATGAATACGCAATTCTCAGATGAAGAAATGCAAATGGCAAACAAATACATGAAAAAATGCTCATCATCATTGGTCTTTAGAGAAATGCAAATTAAAACCACACTGAGATACCATCTCACTCCTAAAAGAATGGCCAGCATCAAGAAAACCAACAACAACAAATGCTGGAGAGGCTGTGGGGGAAAAGGAACTCTCCTGCATTGTTGGTGGGAGTGTAGACTTGTACAGCCTTTGTGGAGGTCTGTGTGGAGATTTCTCAAAAAGTTGGGATTAGAAATCCCATTTATTCCAGCTCTTCCACTTCTAGGTATATTCCCAGAAGAACTGAAAGCATCATACCACAGCGATATATGTGCACCTATGTTTATAGCAGCACAATTTGTAATCGCCAGATCTTGGAAACAACCCAAGTGTGCATCAACTGAGGAATGGATAAAAAAGTTGTGGTTTTTCTATACAATGGAGTGTTATTCAGCTATAAAGAAGGATCACATTGAGATATTTATCAATAAATGGGCGCAGCTTGAGACCATTCTCATAAGTGAAATAAATCAATCTCGCATGTATGAATACCGAATACTTTCCCTAATGTAAGTAATGATTCAAATATATAAAAATGTGTGGTAATCATGATTCCCCCTTATGTGGCCTTGAAGCCTTATAAAGTTTTCACTTATTAATTGGAAAGGCTTTATTCTGGGCTTCTTGATATGGAAATACTTGAAGCTATAGTATATGAAGTTTTATTCAAATATTTCAAGGAAAAAGACAGACACTATGGTAACTACTATCAAGTCAGGTTATTTGGTGGTGAAGCACTAGGTTGCTGAAACAGTCATGCTTTGACCTATATTGTTATATTGTTATGTCCTCTTTTATCTCAATCTCTGCCTTATTCATTAAAAAATTATTTAGTTATTTTTTATGTATTTTAATTAAGGGGAAAATTTTTAAAAATTACCAGGGTATATAATAGTAACTTTTTTTGATTTCCTATTAACTTGATTTGAAGTCCTGTAATACTCCCACTATCTTGTTTTGACTGATTAGACTCTGTTCCATTCTGTATGATAGTATCAAGTTTGAGGGTATAGGCAACTACTTTGAAGGCAATAAGATTCACTAAGATGCCCATTCTGGTTTGACTATTGTCTCCTTTGGAAGTCCTGTAATGTTTACAATGCTTAAGTTTTATTGGTCTTGTTCTCTACTGTTTTGTTCAACTTTATAATATATAATGAGATAGACAATTCTTTTTAAGGAAACAAGAGACATTGTTGATAACCATTGTTGATAACCTTGTACTCTGTTTTACATCATGTGCTATGTCTATCCTTGGTTTGACTGACAGCTTTGTTTTGCCATATTTGAATTTATTCTCTCCTCCCCCAAAAAGTAATAAGAACTAAGGAGTAATAAAACCCAAAATGTGTAAATTTTGTTGTAAAAAATAGAGGGGAAAAAAAGAGTTCTAAATGATACAATAGCAAGAGTGTTTAGGGTTGTTAAATAGCTGACCATATTAATGTTTTTGGTTGGATCATTGAACACAACTGTTTGGAGTCTCACTGTTTGAGTGTCCACTTTGTATGCTTTAATACTGTGATTTGAGCAACTATCTCTAAGATGATAATATGTAATCTATTAACCGGTGATTTCTTACTGGTTTTTTTTTGTAGTTCTGTATTACATGTACCCTTACACTGCTTTGTTTTGTTTTGTTTTTTCTCTTTTTCCTTTTAACTAAAATTTAAAAAAAAAAGAGAACAAGTTATGTTCAGAAAATATTTCCTTGGTGCAGATTGTTTGTTCCAGAGCCACCAATTAGCTTGGTTGATGTCATAGTTTATGTCAGTGGCAGAGAGGCCTCTTTAATTTACATTATGCATTTGTGATTGGTTCACTGTATAGTGCTTGGATTAATGGTTTCAGTGCTCCACACAAATAGGAACGGAGCCAGGATGTGATGTAATGGCAGAAATAAGACTTGTCTTTCTCTTTTGCCGTTTCCACCTTGCTTTTTGCAGGAGCCATGAATGGTGGCCCCTCCATGACACATTGTCTTAGAGCCAACTGAGTATGGACTGAAACCTCCAAAAACTGTAAGGAATAAACCTTTCCTTTCACAACATTGGGAATCAGGTATTTTATCTCAGCAATAGATAAAAAGTAACTAAGACAGGTGAGTAGAAGGACCTATGTCCTGTAACACATGACCTCCTCCCTCCCTATCCTGTGCCCAAAACTCCAGAGCAAATGTCTGCTTCTCATTCTTCCTTCTCAATCCTTGAGTTCCAAATCAACAACTACAAAGGGTTCAGATCCCATCTAATTCCCTAAGGGAGCTGCTGTGGGATTTCTGGGCTGAACTGAGTGAGGGATCCCCGAAATGTTTCTTGTCCTGTAAGCAATCAAGGCTGCATATCGTGATGGTTCAGGCGGAGAGAGTGTGGGCAGTGACAGCAACATTTGTGCCTCTTACCCAATGCAACTGCACATAGAAAACTGGAATTCACAGTCTGCTAAATAGAAAGAGAAAAGGCAATTTCTGGAGTTCCTCTTAGGGTTTGAAGTTATCTTCTATGTGGTGCCAGGCCTGAGCCTGCCTAGCTGATCTCCTGTGTTGCTCTGGGGAGGAGATATCTGCCTGTTCTCAGACAGAATGGAGCGGGATGTGGAAATTTTAATTTCCTAATCTAAAAAGTTTAACTATGCAGAAAGCAATGCAGTAACATTAAGAATAGATTAGCGGTTCAGTTTTAGATAATGATCTTGATTAAATGTTTCAAAAACTAACTCGAATTTTAGAATTTATGTTGAGATTGGTATTGAGTGAATTTCCTATGCAACTTCATGGAACTAATGATATGTACGTCGACTTAAATACTTCATTGCACTTCATGCACTGCAGAGTCGGCTCAGGTCCTAGGATTTAAAGCAGAAGAGAAATTCCAGAGGCACCCAGGAAGACCTCACTCCTGTCTCCTTCTCTACAACTGCTCCTGTGACCCTGACTGGCTCCCCCTGAACTACGGCGCCCCCTGCTGGCGCGACCATCCCCAGAGTGAGGTTTTTGTCTGGAGGCCTACTGATGTTCCCTCACTGTGCTCCACAATAATACACAGCGGTGTCCTCGGGTCTCAGGCTGCTCATCTGCAGATACAGCGTGTTCTTGCCATTGTCTCTGGAGATGGTGAATCGACCCTTCACGGAGTCTATGTAGTTTATGGTACTACTATCACCCTTGATCTCTGAGATCCATTCCAGCCCCTTCCCTGGAGCCTGGCGGATCCAGTCCATCCAGGAGTTACTGAAGGTGAATCCCGAGGCCACGCAGGAGAGTCTCAGGGAGCCCCCAGGCTGCACCAAGCCTCCACCGGATTCTACCAGCTGCGGCTCACCCTGAACACCTGCAAACACAGAGACATCCTGCTCAGGAAATCATCTCAGACATCCTCTGTTTATACTACTCATGTTCACTGACTGGCTCAATATCCTTTTTTCTGAATAATTTACCTTTCAGAATTGCAAACAGGAAAACCCAACTTAGCCCAAGCTCCATGGTGAGCCTTTTGTGGTCAGCTCTCACCACTAACGAACAAGAGCTGGCATCCAAAGTTGTGCTCTAACCCAGAGCCTCGGGGCCTGGTTTTCATCAGCAGAGGGAGGCCCTATTTGCATGGCCTCCTGCTATATATCCTGTTCTGCTAACGGATTGCTCAGAGAGAGCAGTGCCCAATCGGCTGAGTGCACTGGCCAAGTTTGCTATAATTTGGTAGCACACGATATTAAATCTCATTATGAGGTGATGCAGTGCTATTTAGCTGTGTGTCTAATTGTATTTTTCACATGCCCATAACATGTTTTTTTCTAATGAATTGATCTGCCTTGGAAGCATTAAAGTGAGTGTATCATGAACATTTTCCAGTTTGTACACTGCCACATCTTGGAAAGACATTTGAACTGTTTCAATTTTTCTACACAAATATTATGCTGTGTTTCAGGCTGTTGAGTGAGCATCAAATTTTACTCTGCCATAGAAAATACCCACAGAAAAGACAATTTGGTTGTGTTTTTTATGCAAGAATAATTTTTTTTAGAAAAAGAAAATTCTGCAGTGGAGTGTTGTTAGTTGACTGACTTAAGAAAATCAATCGAGAGGGAATCATCTTGTGGATTCAGTCTTATTTTGAGAATCTCAGAAAAATCTCAACAACATTTTCAAATGGCCCAATCCCTGTGACCCCAAGTCTGTCTGTCAATTCACACAAATTTGGAGTCCTAGACCAGAATCATCCTCAGGGGCTTGGGAGAGAAGAGAGAGTTGGCATTCTTCTCTAATGTAAGAAGACTTTGAAATTTACTGTACTCTACTCTCTGCTCTGTATCTTGTTCTTTCATGGAGTCATGGTACTTCCACTGCCTGTTCCAAGGTCAACTAACAGGTGAGTATGAAATAGAACACAGTACCCCAAATCATGCTGAAAGCTGAACTTATAGATGTCCCAATTTTATTGAGGGTAATGTAAGTATAACACATCCACTTTCAGTTACAATTAGATACAGAAATTGAGAAAGTACTTCAGAGATTTTGAGACTGGATGAATAGGTCATGAGAAATACTTGCTCAGACAGTGAAATACGATGATAAATTGTGTGAGAGCACGATGGTGTCTACCATGAGATATCTGCAGAAGAACTCTGCGGTATTATCCACCAAACTGATCTGAGGCATTGCACTATATCACCAAGAGTGAGGAAATGAACAACTTTAGTAATAGGTGAGCACAAGATCAACGTATACAAAGGTGTCCAGACATTCGGAAAAAGGACTTTGGGTGAATTAGATCTGGAAAGTGACCTTCTAGATAACACAAACTCCAGATGTCTCCAGTGGTGGAGGGAAGACTGGCAGTGAACACAGAAATAATTTTCATGGTTATGTGTTTCCATAGCTAAATTCATCAGACTGTATAATTTCTTGAGATGGGAAAAATGGATCCATTGAAAATGTATTATGTAATGAGCAAGAAAATAGATGCGGAAACAAAAGCTTGATTCATGAAAATATAACTCTGCAGGATCAGACTGTAAAGGATCCCTGGGATCTCTGTTACTGGGCTAGTGATGGTGATGTTAATCATGTGAAGAGAAAACCCTCTAGCCCTGTCACTACAGGGCTGTGAAGTTAGTTCCCTACAACAATGTGTGCAGAGCATCACCTGCTGGTCTTACGTTTCCCTGCAGGGTGGTTTATGTCTGGGTTCAGTTATAAGAAATGACTGTATTCCTTGCACAGTGATAGGTGGCAGTGTCCTCCATGGTGACAGCATTCAGCTGCAGAGAGAACTGGTTCTTACCTGTGTCTCTGGAGATAGAGATGAGGTTCTGGAGGAAGAGTTCTACCTAGTGCTATCATACTTTATGTGCCCCATCCACTCTGGGTTCTTCCCCGAGAGCTGAGGGATCCAGCTCCAGTCATAAGCACCAGTTGTAGAATCTAGGGACGGTTCAGGTGAGGGACACAATCTGTGAGGGCTTCACTAGGCCAGCCTCCAATTCCTACAGTTGCCCCTGGGAGAGGACAACTAGGGAGAATATAAAAGAACTTCCTGCCAGACAGTTGCTTTTAACCATCCCATACCCAAGCCCCACACTGAGCACACTCACATGAGAATCTCTAACCAGGCACAAGACAGGACCCAGCAATCTCATCTTCTGGAAGGCACAGCCCTGTCTTCCTGAGAGAACTCAGTCCTATCGGGGGATGCAACTGTGGACCCCCATAGCCCGTGAGTAGATATTAAATCTAGTGTTGGATGGTGAATTTGTATGTGGGGAGCTCATTTCCTATGTGAAGGGGAAACTGGGACATTGCTTGTTCTTTTGTAGTGCTGAGAGCAACCCTTTATGCTGAATTCTGGGTTAGAATCTATGATAAGTTGAAATTTGATTTAGAGGAATAAGAAGCAGGCAATAATGGCCTCAAACTCCTGATCCAAGATCAGTATCATCCAGCCTCTTCTGGCTACTCATGCCCTAGATTCACTCTCTTCCCTTCCAGGTTGTGCTGCTGCTACTTCAGGAGGAACATGAGCACAGACTCTGTGTCTCTCTGACCTATCTCCTTCAGGGCCATTCATGCTGCTTGAGACCTTGCTCCACTGTGATTGTTGTCACTAGAGGTTCATTTGCTCCTTGCTCTAAATCACCTTGTGATCCAAGCCCTACACAATCATATTCAGCATAAACTGTAAAAGGAGTGTGTAGTCTGTGCTTCCCTTAAAGAGACATTTTAATCAATTGGAGAGAAGAAGAAGGATATTTGTGTGAAATGACCTGTCCTCATATGACCAAGTGTAGCTGCTGGCTGGATACTTGCTTTCTAGGTTCAGCTTCTAATCTCGTCCTCTGCAGGTTATTCCTAAACTCTAAATGCTTACCTCAAATCATGAATGATTATGTCAACCTTGAACACAATGACATTGTCCCTAAAATTCCACCTCAACTAGAACTTGTTAACTATGTTATCTTCATTGGTATTTATGGTTATTCACATTTTTGAAAAACAGCACCACTTTGAAGTCCAGGAGATAAGACTTAGGCTGCCCTCTTGTAGCCAAACCTGGCCTGAAATGTGTTTTGATTCTCTTCCCTTATTTTTCCAAGAGCCAGAATTAGAGTCTTGTGACAACACACATAGCTCAACATGTATATCTTCTTTGTTTTGTCTTGGGAAATGGGGTTTAAAATTCAAGTTCATCCTAGTCTTGAACTTCTGCTTCTATCTCCTCACACTTCCATTTGTTGGTGATGTGCATGTGTCCCAGCTCCCCTGTTTAGTGGCCTTACTTGTATTCTTCTAGTGATCATTAGACATTTAGTTATAGACACTGGCGACAAAACTCAGTTTTTACATTTATGTTCTATATTTCTATTCCACATTCAATAGCTTCAGGATACACGAAACTCTGACAATCAAAAATCTTCATGAATGGAGAAGTGCACTCCACCCAGTGATTTCCTCACCAACAAGACAATCAGAGATCATCCCATCAAGGAGCCTTGAAGAATAGACATTTACTCTGTAGATGCACAGAACATAATTTTTCTTTTACCTGGGAGATTATTTCTAGTTTGAATTTCTTTAAAACTTTCCATAGTTGCTCCTTTATTTCAGTTGCTGTTATTACAGGTATTTCAGGTGTATGGCACATATTTGCTTCTATGTACATAGCTCCTAATGTTTCTTGGGATGGGCTTGAGGTTTGAGGTTGTACTTTGGTCTTTCGTTCTGTCATTTTCCTATATTTCTGTGTTTCAAGTGTTATTCCAAGGCTTCCCCTGGGCCTGTGGGAAATCCTCTTCTATTATCTTGGCTCCTGGAACTCTGGCTTCCCAGTCCCCCAGATTGAGAGAGGGTCACCAGAGGTGGGGCAGGCAAGCCCAAGCCCTGCAGGGCTGGTGGCGTGTGGCAGAAAGACTAGAAGTTCCCTGGCCAGCCAGCCAGGAGCAACTATCTTATACTCCCAGGGATTGGAATGGTGTAGGGGTGCTCACCCCAAGCCGCCCAGTTCCCAGAAATGATGGTGCAGGCAGGTACAATATCCAATACAACCCTATTCTATACTGTGAACCCCACCTGACATCCTAAAGATCTTTGATTTAGCCCAGGTAGGATCAATGCACTGTATCTTATTTTTCCAACACTCAGGATAAAAGACTGAGATTGGTGGGTGAAGGGAAACCTGTTCAGCATGAAAAGTTATGCCAAGTTAAGAGACCCAAGAACTGGTCCTTCTGAAAATAGTTCTGTGTTCTATTCAGCGTAATTTGGTAAGATCCAGTGACCCTGAAAGATCTCACTGCAAGTGGGATTCTACAGCTTTTTGGAAATTGACCCTTTTCTTCCTACATGAAAGGCCAAGAGGTAACATTTCAGGCCCTCGAACATTAGATTCCTGGAATACTTCTGCTAACTAATGCTAATAAACAGGTTTGATGTATGAACAGTCTATACACATTTCTACAAGAGATCTTATATCAAGAATAAATGTTGGAAGAACTACCTTCATAAGGTCCATTCCAAGCATGACCTGTGACAGTAGGTGTATAATAACACTACTTGTGCTCCTCCACCAACCCGCCCACCCCATCTCCATCTCTGTCTTCGCGTGAATCAAAAAGGTTCACATCACTTGTTCCATTAGACAGGGAGGAGTTCTGTGGCTTTGGTGTGTCCAGGTGATTTGGACTATTTCCCAGGATGTTGTGGGTCAAGACCGAGGCAAATCCATAAGAATCTTTCAACCTCTCTGAGGATGAGCTGCTTTGATGAAATTCAGCAGACCTTCATGCTGGAGCATGAGAAATCTGGGAAATTATTCGTAGACAAGTTGACATGGCTTGGACACCTCAGACTGACACTAGGGGGTGAATGTCTCCTGCCTGGAGGTGAAAGAGCCTGAGAAGGCATGGTACTGATACAGGTTCTGAGGGAATAGGATGACACACTGCATCCACAGGGCTCATGGTACTTATAGGTCCATCTGCATGCAACTCTGCATCACTCTGCTCCTTAGCAATCTGCAGCAGCCCAAAGCAGTGTTTGCTGGATTTTAGCATGCTGTGTGTTGTCTCTATGAGAGTATAAT